CCATTGAACCCCCCTCCCCCCTGCAGCACCCAACGCTTCAAACTCTTCAAACCCTCCTGCAACTGCCACGTGGAGAAAGCCCGGGCACTCATCCCAGGACCCACCCTTGGCCCCCGCCCTGGCCAGCAAGGCATCCCATCAGCCATTGACCACATCTCCCAAGCCTTCTTCCACTACCTCTGCCCCCTCCTCAACCAGCAAGACCCCTATGCCCTGTCCATCTCCACTGAGGAACTCTTCAGCGACCAAGTTGGAATCCGTGTTGGCTATGTCTCTGTTCCCAACACCCCCCACGGCATTGCGCCTCTGTTCAACTGGTCAATTTATGGCGTTTACACTCTACCTTTACCTCGATGCACTCCGACCGCTCATGGCATGGTAGTTCTGGCCTCAGCCAGGTACCCGAGTAAATAGCAGCAGTCAACCGGTGCTTAGGCTCTAGCGCGAGAAGAATAGGGTCCACTTCCTCAAATATCGGTTGATGCTAGTCGTGGTGCGTAGCCGCACCTTGCGAGCACCCACGCGCGCCGTCAGTTGTCGCTGCCGGTCAAGCTCGCTAGAGATTTATATAGATCGCCTAACAGGGACACCCTCATGTGTTGTCTGAGTCAATTATAAAAAGGCTAGACATGGCTGCAGCTTGCTCTCCAGGAAAAATCGCAACTGGACCCTCAGGACTCTCAGAGGAAATACACACGGACCATTTTAGCCCTAATTCAAGTATGTAGTCCGTTAGATCGCTGCTATAATCGTGTCCACAACACACTCCTTAGAGACCTGCGTATGGTATGCGAGGTACTAGTATTGCATCTCTCGATGAGCTTTGGCTAGTCGCATATGAAAGCGCTCAAGCAAATAACAACATCGAAGCCTGACACCACTCTCACGCTTAAGGCACCAACATCTCATCCCGCGATGCTCTAACGCCTGGCACCTTACCAAACTTTGCACCCGCGGAGAACCTCGCATTTTCTGAAGTCATTCGAGTGAGGCTGCTCGCAGTACATCGCTATAGACGCGCAACTGATAGATGTCCTGAGAGAGAATGGTGTCTGTAGCTCGATCGTCAGGGCGCTCTCATGCTGGTTCCGAAAGTGCAAGTGTCTACCCGAACCTGCAACTTGCTTTCTCCTCGCAGATTGCCCTATCACTTCTCCAACCACAGCTAGACCGTCTTGCTGTATCTTCTTAATACTCTGCACATGACAAACCCCGCCCATACCTCCTTCCGAGCGGCTACTGTAGTGCTCCTCGCTACAAGATCCTACTAAGTACAATATATTTCAGCAGTGGGGCGGAGGACTGGGGTGCCTTGACTGTCTTGGTAGTAGTGGGTGCGTAGGTGTTGGACCATGTTGGAGTTGACAAACAGGTTGCAGGCATCAGTGAACAGTTCGGGGTCGAATTGGTCAGCAGTGATTGCTGGGACAAAGGTGACAGCATACTTAGTGAGGCGGTTGGCTTTGTTGGGGCCGCAGAGGCAGTCTGTTCTTTGAAGGTGATATCCCAGAGCTTGAATGGGATGCCTCCGGGGAAGTGGATAGTGTGGTGGGCAAGTGCAAGTTGGACGATGGATTTGACGTCGCTGTCAAGGTTGGAGGTGTCCTCGTCATGGGAGTGGGTGTAGATGCCAGTGAAGCGGCGTCTGGTGAGGCTGCCACCATGTTTCTCATAGGGGGCATTGGGATTGAGGTCGTAGGTGCATGGGTGTGGGGACTGAGGGCTTCTGGGATGGTGGTGTGGTGGGGTGCATGTGAGCTGGGTTCATGCGCGGGGTCTGGGCAATGGCTTGGTTGGCAGTGTCGGTGTTGGTGTCAGTGGTGATGTGGGTGGGAGGAGTGAGGGGCAGTTTCGATGCAGAAGTTGCCCGGGCTGCAGCAGGTTTGCGGTCGGGGGTGACGGCAGTGTGGCGTTTGGGTGGGGGCGACACCTTGTCTGCTCGAAGGAGGATGTCGGTGATGACTGCTTCGGAGGTGGGGTTGAGTTCAAAGGCATAGTATTTGTGCAGTGAACGGATGGCAGCAGCAACTCGAGACGGGAGGGGATCTGGGGACCAGCCTTGGAGGATGTTTACTTCGGTGGGGGTGGCATCATCAGAGGCAACGGACATGGCATCATCAGCAAGCACAGAGAAGGGGTTGGATGAGAGGCCGGAAGCAAAGGATGCATTAGCAGGGTCTGGCTCAGTGGATACTTCTTTGGGAGTAGAGGCATGTTTGGCGGTAGTGGGGGACTTCTTCTGTGGAGCTTTGGTAGTGGCATTGGTTGCAGCTTTGGTGGTGACAGCAGGGGTGTTGGCAGCAGGTTTGCTATCATGGCTACTGTTGCTTTCGGATGAGGAGGATGAGGAAGAAGAGGAGCTGTTGTTGCTTGTGGATTCACTTGCGGCGGCGACGCTTGGGTCTGGGCGGAGTGGGTCTGGTTGGGCTCCTATTCCGTGGCTCTCTTGGCTGGAGGATGGAGCGGTTGTTGTTGCTGTTGTTGCTGAGGCTTTGGAGGAAGGAATCGGTGGTGTTGGAGCTCGCGGTGGGGTTTGACGACGCTTGGCACGGCTCCTTTTGG